GGAAGGGAGGGGAAGGGAAGGGAAGGGAAGGGAAGGGAAGGGAAGGGAAGGGAAGGGAAGGGAAGGGAAGGGAGGAGAAGAGGAGAGGAGAGGAGAGGAGAGGAGAATCATTCAGCATGGCACTTCAATGAGCTTTACAGTTTTCCTAGCCATTTGCAGTTCAGCTGAGAAATGGACAGAGCCAGCATCACCTTGCTGGTAGTGTGAAAACTTAAAAGTTTTCACACAAGCCCTATATTCTGGGATGCCTGTGCAGAAAGACTAGCTTTGGGCACCCCTCTTCTTCTCCATCTTTGGGTCAATTCCAGTTCAGACCTCTACCCTACACACACACACACACATAATCATCAAGATTCATTAACCCTCACAGGAATGAAAGTAATAGCTCTTGGGCCTGGCCCAAACCTGCCAAGAGAGAGTGTTCTCATGCCTGGCTCTTAAGTCTGGAAAATGTGTTATCTCACTGTGAAGCACAATGCCTTTACCCACTGAGATGGGAAACATTCAGACCCTGAAGGGAAGCTCCTTCATCCACTAAAGCTTATGTATCACATAAAAATGTAAGCTGATGACAGGTTTATGCACATATCTAATTAGAATCTAGTGCCTGTAGCTCATTAGAGGCTTTTGGCTAAGTAGACAACATGATAACCAGTCCCATTGGGGTGATAAGGGGTTAACCACCATTGTCTTTGAGAAATACCTTGAAAGTACCCAGGGAGCCTCCACTCATCCTCCATGTTGCATGAGTGTGAACTCCAGCAGCCTCTCTCATCTTACCCTTACCAGGGGCTGCATATTCATCATGCAGCACATAGCACCACCGCTCCACTAAACTGTGCATCAACAGAGACTGCTGATCTGCATCATTGCTTTGTGCATGCAATGGCATCCAGGGTAAATGGGACACCTGGGCAAACACAGGCCTTAACAGAGAGAAGTTTGGAAGTATAAGAGATGTAGCTTAGTGCACTAGAGATATTTCTAGTCCTCATAAACTCTTGGTGGCTCTGTACTTCTGCAATTTTGGCTTCCCTGGGAGAAGTTTGAGTTCAAGTCCTTATGAAACTCAGGGAAGTGGAGCAGAAATGGTTGTATCCTGTGAAGGTTTTGTGACCTGGACACCAAAACACAAAGTAAACTCCTTTCCATTTTGGTGAAGCTGTCCAACACCTCTCATCTGATAGGTCAAGTGCATTATAATACAAGTGGTAACTACAGTGGGTAATTAGTAATTAAAATGGCAACTGACTGTACCACTGAAAGATTATAGCACATGCCCTAGCACAGAGGACAAAGTGCAGAGATGCACTGCAGTTTGGAAAGGGAAGTGAAGATTTCATACCCATTGAAACTGGGGAATTTGACCTGGCACATTCTGGTTGACTTTCATGGAAAGCGACTCTCTATCACCAAACATCCCACGGGGTTTGTTGTACCTACAAATAGTCAAGGCCTGAGTTTCATGTGTCATCTGCAAGAGAGAATTTTAGCAGCCAACCATGGTAAGGATACTGCTTGAATACTAAGTCAAAATGATCCCCAAAGCTATAGGTATAATGGACAGACTAGAGGCAGAAAGGCAAAACTGCACTTTCAAATCAATTATTTTTCTTTTAGTTTCTTTGAGACTAAAAGCCCTCCATCTTTATGGAGTTCAGGGGAAAAAAAAAAAAAACAAAACACCTTAGATCTAACAAAGATCTTCCTGTAACAGAGGAGAACTACAACACCCACACATGCAACACCTTTTGGCCACCCATTTTGTTGCATGTTCGAACGTATCATCCTGTAGAAACAGCACCATCTGCAGGATTTGAGAGAGGGAGCACAGACACCTTAGCTCAGCAGAACATCTTCCAGGCATCTGGAAAGGTTTTCCTGAGAAGCCTTCAGCCAGAGAAATCTGAGCAGCCATGGGCCTCTGTGGGATAACACAAGGAGGACTGCAATGTTTTATGGCGCTCTGGCACAGCACAGGGGTTTTTCAAGAGAAAGCCTGAATAGCTTGTTTGTGAGATTCTTCTCACTGGGGGGTTTTGGTACTGTGACAGCAGCACTTCTGTGCAGGAGTGACCAGTGGGACACGTTGAGGAGCACAAGGCATGCCTTTTTTGTCACCTGTCCTATGTGTCAGTCAGCATTCAGCTGGCTTATTGGCAAATATGTTAGGGCCCTATTAAATTAAAATTGAAGACATTTTTAATTCCTTCACTGCAATGACTGTCATTCTTGGCGTTAATCGAATGCCTCCTCATTACAGTGCAATTTCACACTATCAAATGTACTTTCAGACTTATTCCTGAAAATCTACAGCTTGTTTTGGGAGATGCACAATAGTATATAGGAGCATTAGCTCCACCTTGTACAGATTCTGTGTGGTTACAAAAGAAACATGCTGAAGCAGTGCCCTCTTCTGGAGGCAGAACCATTCAACCACATTAATACAGGACAGGACAGGCCTTCAGGGCAAAATTAGCAGTCTCAGCAACGCTATTTTTTGTCTGTAAATTTGGCGCTATGCTGTGAAATCCTAGTACTGGCCAAGTGTCTAACAGCTGACATCAGCCAGCGACTGAGCCACTGGCATTTAGGAGAATTCTAAGCCTTTTACTCACAGGCCACTTCCGATGAATAAAATGTCAGTGCGAGAGGGGTCTGGTTTCTTTTACTGATTCATCAATGAAAGAAAAATCTCAACACATTTATTAGCCTAGCTTAAAATTTATACTGAGCTATATCAGCATGCATCCAACCATGTGTGCTTGCAGAAACCTTATTTTCCTATCTAGATCTATATTTTGTATGGGTATTTTTTAAGACCAGCTTGAAAGGTAATTTTACCACTCCACTGTCAAGAATGTAATGCTGATGAATGGAGAAACCAACAGTCCCCAGAGAGTATCACGATTCAGATTCGTTCCAGAAGCACATTTAAAAGTTATTACAATGAAACGCAGAATCATGAGACAAGCCTGAGGGGCCATGACCATTGTAACTGTAAGTAGACACGTTTTTCTTTCCCAGTCTCACAGTAAACAGATATGGAAGCATTCCAAGAGGCGCTCTGTTTTTTGCTTTGGCTGCATGTCATGTTGCTGGAACGGTTGTGGAAAACTCAGGAGGGATGCTTTTTTCTCAGAATCAGTGCCAGCTCTGCTGGATCCAGTGACCATGTGCGTGTCAGTATGTGATGCTCATCCCTCGGTCAGTGCTCAGGCATGCAGTGACTCAGTGAATTATACAGACTAAGACGGAAGCATGCTCTGCACCTCAGGATCAGTGCTCACCCCAGTGGCCCACATGGTGGGGGCACAGGACACTGTGATGAAACATCTGTGCTGGAATGAAGAGGAAGGCCCAAACAAGGCATCACACTGTAGAGAAAGGGGGTGCGTGGGCTGGCTCTGCCTCCAGTCAGGGCTGGCTCTGATGCCACAGTCCTGAGCTAACGACCGGCAGTTCCCCCTGCCTCCCATCTCTGGGGTTCCCCCAGGCAGATGGTAGCTGTGGTCTCTCCCCAACACTGCCACGTTTCTCTCTCACAAGCACAGGTTAAGGTGGCTAGGAGTCCGGTTTGCAGAAGCATGCCTGAAGGGAATATGACCGAGGGACAGAGATTGTGAAGGCAGCAAATACGGTGACGGCACATCCGCCGTTCACCAGTTACCTCGGCACTAGCCGCAGTGAGCGAACCTAGCAGGGGACCACCTTTAACCACAGACAAGAAAGCTCCTCACAGAGCAGGCAGCGAGCTCGTGGTGCAGTGGCCGGAGGTGCCTGCGGGGGTGAACCGGCTCCACAGGGCCAAGTGACCATGCAAGCACATAAGACAAAGGATCAGACAGACGTACCACAAGCGGGGCAGATCCGCCTCCTACGCCCGCTGAGGGAGAAGGGTGCTCAGCACACAGGACACCTCAGCAGGCCCTCTTTTACGAAGCCCGCCGTCGCCGGGCATACCCCCTTCGGCGGGGCGAGCGAGCGCGCTCTCACCCTGACGGCCTGCGCCCCCCCCGCGCATGCGCCACGGGAGGGCAGAGCTGGGCGCCGCGGGCCCGGTGCGCGTGCGCCAGCGCTGCCC